TTTTTTTTGTTCTTTATCTTCGTTGTGCTGGATGTGGGATAGGAGGTGAAGTTGTCTGATAGCAGCCAATCGGTACGTTGATTGCCTTAGGAACCACCTAATTGAATGTCAATCTATCAGTCATCACTACGTGCTTTTATGACCTAAATGACACGTAAGTTGTCACGACGGTGCTTTTTGCACTCTTTTTTTCCCAATTTCGTATGTCAGTGATGTGTATTTCATAACTCCCACCAAGATTTACTTGCCACGTGCCACTTTTCAGTTCGTCTCCCCACCTTCCAATGTGGCACACTTGTCCTCCACTTTGGACTGAATTTAGGCTGTATTTTGCTGACAGGCTTACGAGGTATAGTGGAGAAAACAGCACCAAGAGGGTAGAAACTTTTTCACCTTCTCATCAGTATGGCTAACTTTTTACTCAATGAATGTGGTGGAGGGAGGGTCTAAGGTGAATGTGAATTTCTGACCTCCTCTCCCCTTGTTCCACCTGCAAAATTAATGCAAACCTTGTCATCATTTGTCACTATGGCGTCAGTAATGGTTGCATCACTTCGTAGTGCAAACGGGCAACTTCTTTACTCTGAGACGAAACGGTTGAATGAGTAGGAAGTGACGAAGGCGGATGGCCGATGGACTGCCACTCACAACATCCGAGTTAATCTCGAAGGCAGTGAAACCTCAAAATCTGCCTGTGTCTCTCTGCCTCTGGAAGAGAATTTTTGAAATTCGTTCTTTTTTTTCATAGGTAGTCTAATTTGGCAATCCTCAGTGTAGCAAGGAAAGGCGAAACAGGCCCCACGAGTTGAAGTAGCTTGTCATTACGACACATTAGACAGGGACGACCATCTGTTGCAGTCTTCATCTGTCAAAATTGTCAACCAAAGATGGTTAACTTGTGTTGTGTTTGCTTAATCCCAAGACCATGTCCCAGGTTGACCCTTTTCCTCCCTCCTTAATGGAGGCTAGAAATTTGGGCAAAATGTTGTCGGTCAGCAGTTCGTCCGCCTCTTTCTAGTTCCTTAAAGCGTCGGTAAGGTTACCCCACCTTCCATTCATCGTTTTAGCTTCACTTCTCATTCAATCCAACTTTTGCCTCATCCACCTTCCTCCTCCATCCCCTTCCATTCGATGTGTTGCCCCTCTTCTGATCTTGTTTAATTATCCCACTCAGGAAAAGCACCCCTTTGTGCGAGGCTTTACAGGAAAAGAGAAAAAAATACAGCATCTCGGTATCCGGGCTGATCTCGGGATCGGGTCCAGACACGTGTTAGGGCTGCTTTTTTTGGCGTGAATGACCAATCGCTTTGTTCTGCTTTGCAACGTACCTTCAGTCTCCTTTGTTTATTGATGTCTGGCTTTGTTGTCTGCCTATTAAAACATATATAGTGGCGTTTCCTCATCACCACTGCTTATCTGCAGAATCACTTAGTTCTGTCTGAACGACCGTTCCTCACAGCAGTACTCCAAAGGTGGTTGTCATTTGAAAAATTGCTCAAGGTTTTCCTTAAGTAGGGCACGACGATTTCAAGCCGAACATCTGCAACCGAAATAACTGTTTTTGATGGGCTTCTCTCCGTGTGGCAGGAAACATTTTATTTGTGGTCATTTCTTTACTGATGAATTATGGTCAAAGGCGAACAGCTCGAAGCCGGCACCCTAAAAATCCACAGGCCTCACGACATCGCCCAGGGAACAAAGCCTCGAAGGGGGTGGGAGGGGGAGAGAGAGAGAGTAGGCATTACCTCCACAATGATTAATGTTCAACCTGCCATGTCACTAATCTTAATTTGTGCTGTGTGTGCCTGTGTGTGTAGGCGGTCCGCACCAATCGGATGGGCCACGCGTTCAGGCCCGTACGCACACGTGCGTGTCGACTAAATGGCACTGTTAATGTCATGCCTTGTAGATGAATGTCTGCGTGTGTGTGTGTGTGTGTGTGTGTCTGTGCGTTCGTTCCTGTATGTTTACCGCATAAACAACGCGATAGATGGTACTTCCTGAACAGTTCATTGGGTTTCATTGTGGGGGAGATTGATTTGTGACTGGTTAGGTTGTTGAACACGCAGATGTGTTTGGGTGCGTAAGCAGACAAACCGTTCCACTCATGGCATGGGTGGAGACTCATGCATCCTGGTTCAGAAGAATTTGCGAAACTTCAGTGGTGTGGTGCAATGTTCCAGTCAAGGATTTTGAAGGAGTGGAGGGAATTTATTGTTTTTCCTCTAATACCGTTGGTTTTACGACTCGTTCCGATGTTGGCCCATCACGAGAGGCTGTGGCTATTTCGGACAATCGTCACATGGCTGCGTTCAAGGGGGAAGAGGAGCAGGAAAAGGACAAAGAAAATGAATGCCTTAGTAGTCAAATTACGACGAGTTCACAGGGCGATGGTAGACTAAGCATTTGGATGGACGGGAACGTCTGGGTTGATGAATGACTGATTCAAGTGGTAGCCAAGGCAACAAACGGATCCACTTCTCCTTCGACAGCTGACTGCCGAGTTGAGTGGATCTAACAGAGCTCTCCAACAAGCCTCATTTCCATGTTTGCTCCCTCAAAGTCACTCGCCATGGCAACCCACTTTCTGGTCACTTCACCCCGTGTCCTGATGATTGACACTAATTTTTTGTCATAAATCGAGGTCGCATTTCACCTCTCTCCCCCCCTTCATCTGGCCCACACCCAACACCTAATTTTTCTCACCAACATGTTTGTTCACCCGTCCAGGTGTTTATCCATAGTTTGGTTTATGAGAAAAAAACCAACATCACAATCAGTCATCATGACACTGCTGAATAACACTAGGTGAGAATTTTCCACCGCTTTGCTACTTGAAGGTGACTTTGCACGCCTACCCTTGGTAACCTGTGACAAGGAAATGTAAATTTGGATTGTGGACGGCCAAAACTCCTTATACCACCCCAGTTGCAGGGCTCCAACTGCATATTCTAATCATTGAGTTATAACGAGAGCCTCATTAAGTTAACAAATTGGAATGGACGTAGTACAGCGTGGTGGTGCTCTCGCTAACTTGTCGGACTTGATTTTTCCACCTTCTTCTCCACTTAAATACCTTGCCTTCTTTTCCTCGCTCTCTCACTCTGCTTCAAGGTCGTCTGTCACTTTTTCTCCTCTCTTTCCTCCCTTCCTTCCTTCTTTCCTCGCACGGACCGTTCTGACATTCATAAATTATTTCTTCGTGCGTATGTGCCCTTTTGTGCGTGTGTGTGTGTGTGCGTTCATTCATTTCGGCGTTCGCCATTTGTTGTTGTTGTTGCAATAGCAGCACCAGTAGCAGAACGATAATAAATGGTTGCGTTCACTTCCCTTGTGCGTGCATGTGCGCGTGTTTCCGTTGACTCACCCAATAAGCCGAGTGCGCACGCGCAACTTCTTCCCCTCTCCCCTCTAACCGTGGCTAATGAATCATTCGTGCGTGCGTGCGTACACATCAGTGCACATAGTCCCAGCTGCCTTGTCATTGGTTAATCTGAAAGCGTGAGTCATGATACAAGCACGTGTGCACTTGCGCTTAAGGTTACATGTAACTGTGGTGATTTGAGTCACTGTGTCAACTTTTTAAGCCTAATTTTCGCCTTTTTCTTTTTGCAGGTACGTCTCCACTTCATCGCCTCACATTATCATCATCAGGGTCTACTACTTCTACTTTGTCTCTCCCTCCTCTTGCCAACGAGCCTACCCACCCATAAATAATAAATAAAGGATAAAAAGAGGCGCCCAAATGTACATAGAGTAATAAGGCAATTATTTATTTCTTGTTTGAGAATCGCATTTTTCTTCGTTGTGTGTGTATGTTTGCGTGCGTGTGCGCAGGGCTTCTGCACGCGCTCCCCCACCCCCTCCCTCTGTCCCCCAATTCATTGAAACACTTTTGATCCCATTACGACAAATGCTACTGATACTATTAACGAAAGTATTACATACCTACCGTATTCTGAAATACAGTTCATTTTAAGGGTGAAATGGGCTTTGTGGATTTTTGTTGAATTTGGATGCGTTCCTAATAGTCGCCCAAATTCGTAGATCGAGCAGCACTGAACGGATTAGGTGTTGAGTGTATCGAAGACGCCATTCTCTAGATGGCAATAATGAATTGGCAACCAGCAGTCTATTTCTGTGGGAGTTGGCAAGTAGGTGAAGAACTCCAAGGTTAAAGTAGAGGTCTAGAGGGAATCACAGAATGAACCTGTAGTTAATTACCTGATAATCTGTTAAATTAGTTGGTTGAAGGATTAAAGCCTGGATAAACAAGTGGCTCTAAAGTGGTCGTGGCAAAGTTCATGGCGTTGGTGGTAAGACAACATTGCAGATGGTGAGTTAAGGGTTAATCTTCAGTAGCATGGATGGAAATCGATTCTGTCTTGTTAAAACACTTTTTGGACAAGATTTAAAGGTCACTCCTGACTTGCCTGTACTTGACCTGGTCGGTGCGCACATCTTTTAGATCGACATGTTGATTGGGTTTGACGGCTTTAATAATCTTCAACCCTAAAAGCTTCCGCTTCTCATTATTTTATCATGCTCGACGAACCTTTGCAACGTGCATTGTGATGCACCTGAATTCGCCTTTTTATGTACATTTGTTAAGTCAACGAGGCTTATTAAGGATGCCATCCTCTCAACCAACATTAGTGAGTCACCGTCATATCAAATGTACGCCTTCCTTCCTTATCCGCTTCCTCTTCCCCTTCCTTTCCCCTCCTCTCACCACCCTTCTCCAACCGCCCTCCCTTCCTTCCTCCCTCCCTTCCTCTTCCCCTCCTCTCACCACCCTTCTCCAACCGCCCTCCCTTCCTCCCTCCCTCCCTTCCTCTTCCCCTCCTCTCACCACCCCTCCTCCACTCGCGTCACTTCACGCAAAAACGTTCCCTCCTCCGTCCTCCGTTTCGACCTCCTCTTCCTCCACCTCTGCCTCTGTGCGGCTACTGCTTCGACATCATCCTCACCAAGCCGTCCTCAATATGCCGCCTCCTGCATCCGCACCCGGTAATGTAACAATGCACTGGCATCCACACTCACTCCGATCACACCTCTCAGGCTCGCATGTTGCCTGGTCCTGGTGACTACGACCAATGTGCACCACCTTAGTCAATCTGACTTCTGCTGCCAATGTAGTGGCATGCATCATCACCATCACCATCATCATCACAGCACTGACATGTCAAGCAAACAAAATGAATGTGAGTGTATGTGTGTGTGTGTGTTAAGTCATTTGGTAAAGATGTCGTGATTTCTTGCATCCTCACTCAAAGCATTGTAGACATGGTGAGAAGGGAGGAATTGAAGTTGGTCGGTGAGGGATTGTTGCAGTGTGGATGCTTCTCCTTACACCGCGTTTCTTCTGCCTCAGGCAGACCAGGACAAACATTTGTGGGAGTAGGAAGCTCAACGTATTCGCTAATGGTAATAATTCATCTAAACAGTGTCTTTGTCAAGGCAGTCGATCTCGGTACTGTACAAGGAACTTCAACTTCCCATTGCCACATTCGTAAGGCTGGTCTATGTGATGCGTAATTTCTCTCTCTGACCACCTTGATAAGGACGAAGATGAATGGAAAGAAGTAGGTAGTAGAAGGGAGTGGCATGGGTATCGCCTCCACATCTTAGTGACACATTTTGCTGGTATTCTTGCATTTTGAAATTCTTTCGCATGTTTGTTAATTGAGACGGCAAATAAATCAGCAAGGCACCCTCGTCAATATGCGATAGTGTTTGAAGGTGGAGAGGCGGGAAGTGAATGGGAGCAGGACAAGGAATATTGGGTAAGATTGAGGCATAGGATGAATCACTACAACATAGTGCTGTTTTTGTCCAGAAGTTAAATATGTCTAAAAATAAGCTGAAATCAGATGACAGGGAAGAGGAGAGGGATGAGTAACGGCAACGACAACCACCAAGATTAGGAAGAGATGGAGAGTGAAGAAGCGTGCAAGAGAGCAGTCGAGGTGGCGGAAAAGGAAGCGGAAATACGGTCCATTAAAGAGGCTTTTAACCAAACTGCACGACAGAGTAGGTAGGAAGATGGTCGGCTGTTTGATATCATTAACAGCCGATAAAAAAAGTTTTAGTAAAAGCGTAGTCGAAAATGTCCATTTAATAGCTCCACTCGTATGGATGAGAAACCTATTTAAAAGTAGTCTAAGCCTTGTATTTCAACCAGCCTTGTCATTAGGCCACTCTCTAATCAGAAGTCAGTCGTCAGTGCAAGAACCTGCGGGAAATCCACAAACCTAATGAATTGGGCCTGCCCGTGGTAATTAATTACAATCGTAAATCAGACCGCTTACCAACGTGTAAATGCAAAATTTGCATATCAAGTAAGTGTAAAATAGGGATCGAAGCCTGCGTAAAAATTTAACAAAACATATGTGCTTTTTTAATTTGTTTGAACCTTGAGACTGGGACGTACTAAGAAAAGCACTTGATAACTTGTGTATCCATCCTATTACAATTGTTACTATTTTCATTGCTTTAAAAATTCCCAAAAAATAAGGAAAGTGGAAGATTTCTCCACTAATATTATTACTTAGAGCAAAACAGCCATACATTTATTAATTTATTTCGTCATTGGTATTCGGCCAATCATTTTGAGGCATTTGTGAACCCCTTTCCTCTTACTATTGGGCTATTACATTGACCAATCAAAACGTAAACACAGCCAATCAGATGCGGGCTTACAAAACACTGCTCGAAAATCCTTCTTCTGTCGAAATAATTTAGCGAATGGCAAAGCTAGTGGAATCAAAGGTTTGCGGAGTCAAAAAGTGGCTTATTGGGGCATTGACATGACATTTTAAATCCGAATGAAGGACTACTTAATGCACGAATAAGGAGTTTTAAAGGTCTAAGTATTTCTGACAATTTCTCTACTAACATCGTAGGAATAAAAAGTAAATAGTAACGGAAAATGTAATGATTTTTCAGTTTTTTCACCTCGCACAGGACACACCATTCGCGCGCAAAAAAACATGTGTTGGAGTGTGCGCAGAAAAACCGTCCAGATGCACAGCATCGAGAGGTCCACTTTGTGGACAGCCAAGTTCGGCTGAATCATGCTAGAACTGGAGCCCCAAATCGTATGTAGAAAAATTGTTGCAATAATAAAGCGTAGAAAAAAATGAATGTAAATTACTAAAATACGATCAGTTTTGGTAATGGGACTGGTGATGTGTGGCGATTTGGTGGAGGATGAAAGGAGGAGGAGAATATTAAGTAGACTGATAAACTGGATAAATGATGGTACCAGGCGAATGTTTATTGACTGGTGAAAGAAGTATACAACAAAACTGAAAATTGTAAGATAGGCTAATTTGTTTTTATGGTTAAGGGGAAGCTTAAAGCGACCACGACGGATGGAGTGGAAGCCTTTGGTGAAAGCGATGTCGTACCTAGTGGTGAAAGTGGTTACAAAAATTCGTGAACAGATTGTACTAAAGTGAAAAGAACAGCCGTTTGTCATACACTGGATGCGATGCGCGAAATGTGTGTGTGTGTGTGTGTCTATAACGAATGCACAAATTCGTCCTTCCCCCTCGTTGGCATGTATGTACTTGGTAGTGGGATCCACCTCCCTTCCTCGCTTTCTCCCTCTCTAACAACTTGTAATTAATCACCAAACGAATGATTCGTATACACACAGACAGTACCTTCCCAGTTCCTGCGATTCGATGGCATAAACCTCCGATGACACTAGTCTGTCAACTTTCCTCCACACACCCATAGTAAATAGACTTTTAGTCGCGTTTGTCATGTAACATTTTCAGACCTAAATAAACAAGTCCCAATGCAAAGGTCTGACTCACCCACTCTGGTGATGGCAGAAGAAAACAACAGTTTTACCTTCTTTGAACTCAAGCTTTACCCCTTCCTCTCACCCCCACAACCAAGGCAACAGCAAAGACAATGTTTTGTCTGCCTGTCTGACTGTCCCTTGACAGACGGAGACAAATGGGTGGGTGGACAAAAAATTGGGAGATTCAGTTTTTAGTAAACGAATTTGACTGGTAATGTTGAAACGCCTTATTATATTGCCGCCACAAGGGAATATCGTGCCTCCACCAAAGTGGGAGTGTTTCACTTTGCAATCGGGTCTCTCCAAAAGCTCCGAATTTTTTTTTTTTGCATGGTCACTGCGGAGCAGAGACGTGTGTGTATTATTAAACAGTTGGGAGTGCATTGTAGACGAAGATCAAAATAGAACTGACGAAAAGGCGGCAAAATTGAAGAGAGGAGGGGAGGGAGATGGAAACAAGATGGGGGGAGGGAGAGGTGAGAGGGTCTACGCATCGTGTTGCAAACATTTGAGTCCATCAGCCTCGCATAACCCAGTCTTTACGTAAACAGCGGACACGAGGACGCGCTTATTAACGCCCTGTCAGGTGAACTTTGTCAAGATGGATGGATTGGCCAAG